ATACAAATCTCACTCACTTAACAACGAGCACGGCATTGCTGCCGTGATTGTAGGGAGTATTCACTACATGTTGTAGGCAAGTTCGAGGGCCGGAAGCAAATGCTCCCATTCGCGTTCTTCAGATTGGATGTAGGTACGACGCATCTGCTCCAGTGCGCCGCTAACCCTTTCAGTTTGACAGTCGCTTTACGGATGGTAAGACGAGGGCATGGCGCGTTTAATGTTAAAGCAACGACGTAGTTATTGCCAGAGGTCCAACTGCAAGCGATGATCGCGATCCTATATGAGTACCTCTGGAAATCCGTCGTAGCGGATAATATGGTCTGCGAGAAGCTCCACGGCGTCTGCTGCTGTAAATGACTTCTATGAATGACTGAGCGAATCGACGAGGACAAGGATACTGTCGTTGCCGCGCGGGGTGAGTGGTAAGTCCGTTATAAAATCTAGGCTGACGTGGCTCCAGCGCCTAGACGGGACGAGGAGGGGCTAGAGGAGACCCGCTTGGCGTTGAGAGATAGCTTTCGATGCCCTACACTGAACACAAGAAGCGACATAAGCAGCAGCGTAGGCACGCACACCAGGCCAATAATAGAGCTTACTAAGAGACAGGAAAGTCTTGCGTTCCCCGCGATGGCCCGCCGTTACATGGTCGTGGTGGCGGTAGAGGAGGTGTGAGAGGAATTCAGGCAAAGTTGGGGGGCAGATGCGCCATAGGCCATGGATGCAGACATGTAGATAAGGTCNCGGCAGAACTTGAAGCGGTAGCGTCTGCCCTGAAGCTGGTGAGGAAATTCCACCGAGTCCTGTCGGTCTGGCGCAAGAACGATATCCCGAAAGACGGGGCAGCGTTTGTAACCCTCCTCCCAGCGTTGGGGGGTCAGGAAGTCTGATACGGAGGGCGAATCCGGAACCGACTCTGTGTACGCGGTGACGACCGGCTGCTCCGTGCTCGGCGGGGAAGTTGGAGAGGCCGGAGGGTTGGGCGTACGGGGTTGCGTTTCCAACGTAGCCCGGGGCTGGGTCGGCAACCGGGATGACGGGCCGGGGAATGAGTGACGTCGAACGCGCGCTTGTTGAGAGCGAAGTCCAGCAATCGCCCGGAAGTCGATACGAGGTGAGTTGCCCAAGGAGGAGCGGGTGGGGTAGCGGGAGGTGGGGGGCGTGAGCGCTTCTCGAAGGCGGACAAGAGGGGTTAGGGGAGGATGGGGCGTCTTGAGCGCTGTTGGCTGGTGCTGCGGGTGTCTGGACATGGCATCGGCGACTGTGTTGTGGGCGCCTTGGAGGTACGTTATGGTGAGGTGTGGAAAGTC